CAGATTGCAAACTTGACGTAGTTTCAAAATAAATTCCTTTAGGAGCCGGTTTACAGAAAGCGAAATGAAAATTTAGTTCACAATTATCAAACTAATTCGAATTAAGTCGCCATTTATTTTGCATTGACAAACGTCAAGTTAAATAAAAATGTAATTTTTTTAATGAAAAATTTAACAAACCATTTCTTGAAGAAAATTATACATTAATGATGACATTGACGAAAAAACAAATCATTATTTATTTAATATTTTTTTAACTGTTTCAAAATAAAATTATTTTATAAATTATTTATTTTACATAAAATCAAGTTTAAAAAAGAGAAAGCCTATTTCGTACAAAAATTATGTTACTTAATTTAATTTTGTTTTTAATGCATAATTTTCTTTAAGAACTGGTTTTTGTTAAATTCTGTTTTTATAAAATTAAACGTTTTTATTTGATTTAAAAGTATTACAATTATCAAAAAATAAAAGCAGAACTAAAATATTTGAAATAATTTTGCCGTTTATTTCCTGGTTTAATTAAATAAATAATTTTTATTCGTTTTTCAATGACAATTGCAAAACTAATAGAAAACTTAGGGCCGGTTTACAGAACGTGTTAATCGCAATTAAATTTTAAAGTTGACGTTTGTCAATGCAAAATAAATGGCAACTTAATTCGAATTAGTTTACCTAATTCTGAATTAAATTTTAATTTCGCTTCTACTCAAAGAATTACACCACTCGTGGTAAAGGCACACATGGAATTAATTTTTCTTCCCGCAAATAAACAATAGTTTAATTCATTTGTTGTTTTACATAAAATCCAGTTTAAAATAGAGAAAACCTATTTCGTTCAAAAATTATGTTAATTAATTTTATTTTGAAAAAACAGTTAAAAAAATATTAAGTTAAGAAGGATTTGTTTTTTCGTCAATGTCATTATTAATGCATAATTTTCTTTAAGAAATGGTTTGTTAAATTTTTCATTAAAAAAATTCAATATTTTCATTTAATTAATTTGACGTTTGTCAATGCAAAGTAAATGGCAAATTAATTCGAATTAGTTTAATTCTGAATTAAATAATTAAATTAATTTGGCTTTTTGTAAACCAGCTCCAAGAGGAATTTATGTTAAAACTGCAATCCGATAATTTACGACCCTGTCTGCTTGTAGTTAGAAGGGTCGGCATATAGCAGGGGCTGGTTTATTGAGGCGTCATTTTCATTTTGTTCGACTGTACATAATCATTTCAAAATTTGGAAAAAACAAAAAAACTAAATGTTTTAACTTTAATAAATCAAAGTTAAGTTTAATTTGAAAAGTAGTACCTAATAATAATAAAAGGTTTTGTGGATTTACCAAAAAATCAAATTTTCTTTGTCAAACAAGTTTAGCACTATTCTAGACAAAATTAATTAATTGTTAAATCTAAGTAGGTACCAAATAATTTTAAACAATTTAAATGTCACAAATTTATAATTATGCAAAATAAATTAATTAATTAGCTGTAAAATATAAAAGACTATTCAATTCACCTCTCTTTTTTAAAATATTAACCAATAAAATAGCAGAGATTTACTTTCGTATCCTAGCAACAGCAAATTCCAGCGAATATTTCACTCGTGGTAATAGTATAGAGTGGTTATAAATGATTTTCATCTAGCCAGCTGTGAATTTTCCATGTAAAATAAAAAATGCCGCCTTACGAAAATAGGGGTACCTACTTGTTGTAACTCAAAATTAAAAACTCGCCGTTTACTAAGCGTCTACTTTGAAAATAGACTTCAATTATAAACTTGTTTTTTTCCAAAGTATACATTATTATCAATTATTATTGGAAACTAGTTGAAACAATAAAAATTTAATTAACAACAATTTATTATTAATTAATAAGTGACACTAATGACAGAACTAGAGCTTTCAAAAAAGTAGAGCGGCACAAATAAAGTTACATGCAAAAAAATTCCAAAGCTGGCTAGATGAAAATCATTTATAACCACTCTGTATATTAAAGTACAAGTTGCAGAAATTTGAAATTTCGAAACGAGCCGCCTAGCGGCGAGTTGAGGAACAAATGAGTGCTTGAAGAACCTTCTGCAACAAGTGCTTTATACTATTTTTTTCTATTTCGCCGCTTTATATCATTTTATAAATTAAAAAACGAAAATTTAATTTTTTTTTCTAGAGAATTTTGCGATGGTTGGCGACATTTATGTGTGGAATAATTTTAGGCGACTGTAAAAAATAAAAATTATTCTTATTTTCACATTTGAAAATGAATTGTGAAGAAAGTCCGTCACTAAAATGAAATTACCGCGAACGACTTATTCCAGCACTCAAATGATGTCATTTGGGTGCTGGAATAGTATATTAACGTACAAGTTGCAGAAGGTATCTATTCAAGCACAAATTTGAAATTTCGAAACGAGCCGCCTAGCGGCGAGTTGAGGAACAAGTAAGTGCTTGAAGAACCTTCTGCAACAAGTGCTTTATACTATTTTTTCTATTTTGCCGCTTTATATCATTTTATAAATTAAAAAACGAAAATTTTAATTATTTTTTTTTCTAGAGAATTTTGTGGCGGTTGGCGACATTTATGTGGAATAATTTTAGGCGGCTGTAAAAAATTAAAATAATTTTTATTTTCACATTTGTAAATGAATTGTGAAGAAAGTCCGTCACTAAAATTAAATTAACGCCAACGACTTGAAATAGAAAAAATATATTTGGATATTCGCTTATGAACACCATGAGTGCGTAGCACGAATGGTGTTCGCAAGCATAATGACCATGAATAAAAATATGCTACAATTTTTGACTACAAATGGTATTCAACAAACTATTCAATGAACCAAATCAATGATTAAAAAAATACTCCCATAAAATATCAAAAGGTAGTTGGCAAATTTGCATTACACATGATTTCATTTTTAGCACCCGGTAAATAAATTTTTGTTATTTGAAAATGAGTTTCACAACTTAATTTACAGGTAATAATTATTACCATTTGCTATTTACGTGTTATTTGCAATGAAAAGTGTGTGCAAAAGATTTGGAGAGACATTTGACGCAGAAATCAATGTAGATATTGAAAGAAAGGTCCAGGAAAATACACGGAAGTCACGAAAGTCGGTATGGCGTCAGTTTTCTCAGTTTTTGGAAGAAAAAGGCTACTCTTTGACATCATCTACCTCATCCGCAGAGTTATTTATCCTTATTTGCAAATGGACAACAAACACCACAGGACAATTGTTGAAAAAAAACTACTACATCGACAACAGTGGCGACTAAATTGAGCAACAGTGGAAAAGATGAAATTTGTGATGTTGAACATTCGTTCTAAGAAGGAGGAATTTCGAAAAATTGCAGAAATGTTTATATTTCAAATTATTCAGTTAATTTTGTAAAAAAGTAATAAAAATAATAATCAAGTTGGTTCAAAATATTCACTACAACCACTCGTGGAATATCCAGTTATATTTTACCACGCTGGAATTTGCTGGTGCTAGGATACGAAAGTAAATCTCTGCTATTTTGTTGGTTAAAATTTAAAAAAAGAGAGGTAAATTGAATAATCTGTTGAATACCATTCGTAGTCAACGATTGTCGAATATTTTTGACTATTCGTGGTATTATAACTGAAAAAATAGACATTAGTCCATTATTTTAAAGACGGTTTACCAAATTAATTTGAAATTTGGTACATGGTTAAATGTACCTTTCAAAAATCTGTAATGTAAAATATTTTTCAAATTTTCACATTTATGTGGTTTTTTGGAGATTAACAGATACAAAGCTAGTAATAATAGTCAAATTTAGTACAGTTGGTTGCAATAAAAACGGAAAATAGAATTTTCTTTAGATTGAATCAGGTTTTACCCTTGTCAATTTAGTTTCATCTGTCGCATCCAAATATTTTTTTCTGTAAGCCGCATTTAAATGCCGAGAGCATCAAATGCAAATCAAGATAATCAATTAGTTGAGTACTTACGTGAAAACCCAATGAGTAGTGAGTACTACAGATTAACTGTCAGTTCTAACTTAACCTTTTAGAATTAAGCCATGTTCAAACTATGAATAAATATAAAAATCTGAGATTTTAATGCTTTGACATTTTCCGATTTTTTGCAACCAAGTGTCTGCAAAGTCGCGCACTTCGGTGAAAGGGAGTAATTGGGTAGTCCCCCAGAGTACTAAAAAAATTTTTTAAAAATTCTATGTTAAAAAATTTTGACTTATTTTTTACATTTGAGATTTTTTTAAGTCTACTTAATGATCTTATTTATGTATGTTCTTTTTTTATGATTTTTATTTACTAAAGGTGTAAGAATTTTGTCAATAAAAGCCACAAATAACATTAAACAGAGTTACAATTTAGGATACAGCTTCTTTGTTTCCTCTTCCAATAGCCTGTGGCAAAAAAACTTGGAAAATTATTTTTCCAACAGAAATAAATAGAGTCAAAGTGCAAAATTTAAACTCTCATAACTTCTAAATTTTTATGGCTAGATTTTTTAAACATTTTTCTTGTTGTCTAGGGCACCGCTGTTTAGGAATAACAAATATGTTAAACAAAATTATGTAAATAAACAAAAATTTTAGGAACAGGTAGTAATTAGATTCAGCTGTATCCATATCTACTTATTTGCATTTAGGGATATAATTATTATAGTATAACATTAGGGTAGAATTGCTCTATAAACCTCCAAAAAGTTATTAATAATATAATTTATATTTAATATAATTACTATTGTCTCAATGCGTATGTCATATTTATTCCCAAAATAAATTTATACAAAAATTGAAAATCAGCTCGCAGCTCTTAATAAAGTAACTAATTTTTTTACAGTTATTTAAAAAAGCTATTAGAACTCATGAGCCCTCTGGTTTACAGTAGCCAAACTAATAGTGAGCGATAATCGGAATCTGCTTGCGCATTCAATACATTAGGAATTGTAATAAACATGTTATATTTAGCGCAAAGCGAAGCAAGATGTCGTCTTTAAAAACTCACCTTTTTCGGAGGTCCTGAATGTGTCCTTCTGGCCGATGTTTTCGACGTGGACGCAATTTCAAGAAGATTCTCAATGCAGTGACTGCCTTTCTTCTGTTTGCCAGCCATAGTTTCACTGCAAGAAACAAAATATACGCTTTTAAGTCGGTAGCAGACAGAACTTTGTACGATGTGTTGGACAAAATCGATATCTTATTAGAGAACTTTCGGAGTAGTTTGGAAAGTTTTATAAACAATGGGAGTTTGATATCGCAGTAAACAACTGAATACTGATCAGAGGATACGTGCTCGTCACAAAAATTTAAACTCTTAACAATGGTTTATTAATTTTTAATAGCTATATTTTTATGCATGCATAAAAGATGTAAACTAATTGATATTAATTTTACTTTTACGCCTATATCATCATTAGCATCTTTATCAGAAAACCCTCTGCATCAAAATTGAAATTAAAACAACATACTAAATTTGTAAAGGTAGGATTAAAAAGTGAGACTTGTCTTCATGGTATCAATTTTTTTTCCTAATTATAAAAACGATAATTTTATCTTTCATAAGTAACATTAAAATTGACATATTTTAATTTGGCTGAAAAAAAAATAACATTCTCTTGATTTAAATGTAATCAAATTTCTGTTGTCTCAACAATCTGGTATGCATATAATTTTGTTGATTAATTTAAAATAAATTGTAAGTTCTCTTTTTGACAATACACTTTATAAAAAAAAATACAAAAATGTTTTTTTTTTCGTGTTAAATAAAGGATTTTTGCAAAAAACTTTAAAGAATTTTGAAAAGTAATTTTTTAAATCAATACAGAAAAAAATTTATTATAGATCTATGTCCAAAAGTGCTTCCTAAGAAACTCTACCTTATACAAAAATGTAGGGTTTAAGAAAACCTCGTTTTTAACGAAAACGGTGAGTCATACAAAAGTAATACAAGAAGGTTAATCCAAAACAATTTTTTTTTGTCTTAAATAGGTTGATCACTGTGCTTCTTAATTAAGGTACACAATTTTGAATTAGTAAATTCAGCGCCAAAAAATTATTTCAGATGATAATTAACATGAACATGATCACTTCATGTGTTTAGAGACCCCGAAAAAATAACAATACTTTATGATTAATTAATACCAAAAAAAAAACAGAATTCTATTCAATGCCTTCTTGTAATGAAAGTTGTAAACGCATAGACCCGTCATATCTATTCAGTGTTGACAAATCGAAATACGAATTAATTGATGAACTAACTTGAGTCAAAATTTTTGTTAGTTAGGTATTTTACAGCATTTAACGCACTCAGTTTTAGTTTGTGCGTCAATATGAAGACTTTACGCTGTAAAATTATACCTACCGTACTTAAAGAACAATTAGCTACTAATATTTCAAATAAACTCCATAAGTTTGGTGGTATTAGCCAACTCATCGTTCTCAGTAACCGTAAAGAAGAGAATTTATTTTTTCTTTTATAGGTATATTTTGCGTGTACTTCTTATTGATCGAGTTTAAAAACACCTTTTAATACTTCTTCTTATAGACTTCTATTTTCCCCACGCGTAACTTCAAAACTTTCTCCGTCTGAACGGCGCCGCCAAACTTTCTCCAGCCATTTTTCTTACCGTGTTTACCTTCGAACCGACGAGGTAACTCTGTTTTCTTCTTAGTTTCGTCTCACAGTGGTTTACGCTATTGTAAACTTTGTCTATCTATGATTAATAATCTTCACCGTTTGAAAAGTTACGATTTAATTAATATATACGAAAAACTTTGTAACTTTTTCCAAGTTCAGGATGTCGTAAAAGTAACAAACTTGAACACAATAAAACGAAAATAGGATTTCATTATACCGTTCTCTGTTCTACACTTATTAACAGGTGTCTGAAAAAAGACAGACGCAAAGTTTTCGCTTTTATTGCTTTGAAACATTTATTTCGATCGGGGATTTGGCTCGTAAAGACTATCACTTGTGATCGAAACGGAAGTTATATCTCTGGTGCGGAACAAATCTGAGATCCATTGAATTATGTAAAGAAAAGTCTAAGAGACAGAAATTGATGTTCTCTACGTCGGCACACGTCACAGACCTAACCTAACATGAATCATAAACACAGCAAGTAAACACGCATGCAAGTTACAAGTTTGAAACTTGGACTAACCTGCGATTTTAGAACCGACGTATGCTGAAAAATCACTGAAACTTGTTACATAAGCACTTGACAAAAATCATCAGACTTTTAATAAGTTGATAAGAAGTTGTCCGAGAGAAGGGGTAGTTAAACGCGTGGAAAAAACTTTTAGTCCCGGACTCTTACGGGCATGATCCAATATGGTAGTACTTTAGTTATAAAAGTGTCAGTGCGCAGCGCGCTACAAAATCAATAATCCACCGACTTGCTTATAATTTTCTTCATACTTACAATGAATTGGTTGTTGTATGATGCAATTCAATAATGTACTATTTAAAAACCACACTCCATATTAATTCCTACCCTTCTTTAACAATTATTATGAAAACGTGAATACTAAAAATAAACCAATCATAATGGCGCGCTTCGAAACTTTCAAACTTCGCGAACACTCTCCCCGCAACTCATCGCTGAGATGTTTTTTTGAAGAGGGGGAAATAGAGTAGGAATTAGAGAAATACCTACCMCAMCTTTTCTTTAAATTAAGAGAAAAAGTGATTAAGAAATAGGTATTGTAAAACTACTCAAATCAAGTAAATGGATATCCTTTATTAACATTTAGATAGTTGTACAGAAAGAAATTTTAAGAGGTAGGTAATAGTCTAATAGTGGAAGACAAAAGATGCAAGAATAACTCAACTTGCCTCATCCGAATGTTCATAGTTTCGGAATTATAGAGGGTTTAATTTAGTTTAATAAATTTAAATTTGGCGCGCAGCCTTAAACCAATCACTTACAAAAATCGGACACAATCTCTAATCTCAAAATCGATTACATTATTTGAAAAAAAAAATTTCCTAACATTTTGATAAAATTGCTCGCCACTCTTGCAAAATACAGTAATAACACAAATTAAATAAAATAAAAACAATTGAAATATCCTAGTTATTTGAAAATTATAAATTTAACATTCAGCATGACTACCATTATATGTCACCTCTTATTAGCAATGTCAATTTAAAAAAAAATACTCAAAAAATGTAAATTTTATTTGTATTGTATTTTTTGAGAAATTTTTTGACGTTAAAATAGAGATTGCACTTTTTATATCTCAGAAACTGTAAATTTTCGAATAAGGCAAATTTAGTTATTTTAACTTCTTTAGATCTGTACTGTACTATTACTTCTTTGAGGCAACTTAGTTCTACGATTTTTTTGCTAGATTTGTAAGAAAAATGAGGCTTTTTTATTTAAAATCTGTATAAAATGAGATTAACAACAAATTTGCTATTTGACGTTAAATGTTTAAATAAAGAGTTTTGGAAATACTTAATCGACTACTTTACAAACTAGGTACACCTTTTTTCAAAAACATTGTTGTCATTCCAAGACCATAAAACATTGAGTAAAAAATTTAAAATAAAATCTTTAATCAAAAATTATAATTCAAATTAGTGCAATGATCGGTATTTTATCAAGTATTTTTTTGAGACTAATCTGTCGAAAACTAGGTACTTCACTTTTTACTATACAGGTGCGCCAGAATTCACGCTTCAGAGAAAAATGCCATGTGTGCATTACATACCAAGAACATGAAAAATATGTTAAAAGAATTTTATCTATAAAATTTCCGAAGTTACGAGAGTTTAAATTTTGCACTTTAACTATTTATTTTAAAACTTTTCAAAATTTTTATAGATAAAATTTTTTTAACAGTTTTTCCATGTTCCTGGGATCTTACCTTATATGGCATTTTTCTCTGGGGCGCGAGTTCTGGCGCAGTCTGTATACAGGCTGTTCCGGCTAAACCCACATTAGAAGTATTGGAAGTTCTAACAATCATATTTATCAGAAATTTTGATTATAGGCATAATCGTTTAGATCCTGCTCAATATTTTCAAGATGGCAGCATTTCCGGTTACGCCGGATATTTTCAACTCGTCTTTGTGTAAATCGGTTTATTTATTCCACCTCGTTGACTATAAACCACTCGTTATCGTTAAATAAAGCGTCCGATTTACACTCAAACTCGTCGAATAAATAATTATTGTTCCTACTTAATTAGAATAATAAAGTTTCAATTACATATTTGCTCGTTTCAGATGAAGCAAAAAATGTTTTTCCTTTTCAGTTTTGACATAAATCAAAGATTTTTTTCTCCTCTTGTAAACTAAATCCGGGGACATACTCTATATTTTTTTTTAATTACGTATTAAATATTATTTTCTGCTAGGTGTTAAAAAGAAAAAAAAATCAAAAAAAATCAAAAAAAAATCTAATTAAAGAGTATTATCCAAAATAACTTCTAATTATTTTTTAACAAGTAGTTTTTTTAAATAAATTTTTGATGTTGCGTTTCGAGCTCATCAAGAAGATTTTCCTAACTAAACCGAAGTGGTTGTTTCATGCATTTAATCACGGGAGTGGTTAGTTTACGAAAAAAAAAACCTCTAGTCTCCGGCTTTTTATTCACCGTGTATATAGATTTAGGTATAAATAGAAATAAGGTACATACGTACATACGGGGTGATTCACGAGGAATAATGAGCCTGAACAAATTCTCGATGCAACCAACATTACATTTGTCGCAAAGCAACTTGTGAAAAGTAATGGTGGTTGCATCGAGAGTTTGGTCAGGCTCATTATTCCTCGTGAATCACCATGTATTACAAAAAAAAAACTCGTTTTTATTATACCTGCATCATAATCACTGATTAAAACACGCAAAAGCGTGCATAAAGGGGCCTTCCTTTAAAGCTCTAGTGCTTTAAAGTGGCCATGGTAACAATAAATTTAGAAATTTAGATAATGCTAACACGAACGAATTTATTTATTTATTGAAATACACATGAATCGTACAATTACTGTTGTTTGAAAATTGTAACCCGGAACGTTTAATTACATCGTTATTATTTAAACTAGTAGAAGACTCCTCCCATTGCGCTGTTTCACATACATTCCTTCTTGGAGCCACAGATGTAATAGTATTACTTCCACTTACTGCCCCAATAATGCGCCTTGACACACAAAGTTTATTCGTGGTAGACTCTTCAACATACGAATTTGCCACCGTTGAAGGCTTCCACCCAACTTGTCGTTTAAGTTCATCCACACTCATTCCAATATTTGAGATGATTGTTGCAGAAGTCCGTCGAAACGCGTGGCCTGTGTATTTTTTAGCATCTGGAAGCTTTAGATAGGTCGCAACAAAAGACGGACATTGACCAAACAACTATTTTGATTGAAATGGATTCTTCAATATAGCCACTACGCCACTTGCCACTAGCCACTACGTACTTGCACTACGCAAATTTTGATTTTTCCGGAATTAATCGCAGTTCTGCTTGTTCTGCTAGCCTTTTAATATCTTCACTCATTTTCTGAACTGATTTTTACAAACGTCGAAAAATGTACATAACAACGTAAACTAGTAACCGTCTCTACGAAAACGATTCACAAACAACCTTTGATAATTTTATTGTGTGAATTCACATTTTTTCAATGGTCATAAAAGATCGTAAATGGGCAGGTATAATAAAAAATAGCGTATAACACTCGTTTATAAGCGCCTTTAAAACACTTACACTCCGCTCACGCGTCGTGCTCTTAAACCCGTCGTGCGTGTTTTAAAGGCTTGCTTATAAACTAGTATTATAATATACTATTATGTTTAGGGGCGGCAATTTCAAATTTTTACAAAGGCGGCCATCTATCTTACCACGGGCCTGAACTTAATGAATTATGGCTATGTATCAATTTTCAAATTAATATGATTATTCGAAGTCACAGTACTTTTAATGTGTGGTTTACACGGAACATCCTGTATATGTTTTTTATAATTATGTAGTAAAGGTACAGAAATTTTCCCAATAAAAACCACAAAAACCTTAAACAGAGTTACAATACAGCTTCCTTGTTTTCTCTTCTAGTATCCTGTAGCAAAAAAATCCTGGAAAATTATTTTTTTTCTATAATACGCTCCCGAAAACAGCGTATACAAAAAATTCATTTTGGGGACTCAAAGGGTTCGTAAAATAGCTATTTTTGGAACCGTATACAAAAAAAACATTTTATCGTAGCAAAAGTTTAATTTTTATATTGAGCATGGCAAAATCAATAGCCAACAATTTTGAAATTTGATAATGCCCTTTTTTATATACGCTCCCGAAAATAGCTGTTTTAGTGACTCATTTGAGTCCCTAAAATAAGTCTTTTCCGCACTCTATAAAATAGTACGTAAAATGGTTATTTTAGGTACTCAATCCTCAAAAACAGTTTTTCTGGACTAAAAAATAAAATTAGTTACTATGGTAACGAAATTTTCTTTAATTAGTAAGTGATGTGAAGTGCGGACTCATCTACTATTCCAGACTCTGTTTCACCTCGTCCGGAAACAGCAACATTTCGTCCGCAAGAACTGTGTTTTAGGTACTTGTAACAAAAATAACTATTTCAATAAAAATAAACAAAGTCAAAGTGCAAAATTGAAAATCTCATAACTTTAAAAAGATAGAATTTAACATTTATTCCATGTTTCTGGTATCTTACCTTACATGGCATTTTTCTCTGGGGCGCGAGTTCTGGCATACCCCCTGTAATAGTCTTAGATAATAGTCACACAGACACACTGAACGGCTCGTGAAAATCATGAGGAGGAAAGAAAAAAATACAAAAAAAATTAGATAGAATATTTGTTTGGTCTTCAAATTGCCTTCTCATAACAAATTATTTTAGTGCAAACTCCCTGTATATTAAAACAAATAATTTATATTTCCACAAAAGAAGCTTAGGCAAAACTGTTTAAAGTTATGTAATATCGGCAATTGTTTAAATACAAAAATATTTATTGATGACTACGAGTACAACTTTATTGCTTTTTGATTTTTTTTTGTAATATATAAAAACAACTGTCAGTTAAGTTGATAATTGCTTCATTGCATCAAGAATCGTATAATGAAATTTTGCGTTTGAGAACGTTTGAATTGAAAATAGTATTTACAGAAAATATTATAATAACTTGTTGTATATTTAAAAAATGCAATCATTTAGGAAACTCAGATTTTACAAATTTTTGCAACAGAAATTCATATTTTTTATTTTATGTATACAGGGTGCGCCAGAACTTGCGCCCCAGAGAAAATTTTCAAGTAAGGTAAGATACCAGAAACA